GGGTGGCCAACCTGCGGCTCACGAGCCACATGTGGCTCTTTGAACGATTATTTGTGGCTCTCGATAAATGTACCTGAGTTCCCTTTTCATTTTTGTGTTGTTATATTTTAAAACATTATCATCATTCCGTATGTGTTTCAAAATGTCTTTTAAATTATTAACAACAAATATAAAAGACTAAGTGCAACGTTGTAACAAATTTCATTTCCGTCCAAGTTAAGAATGATATGACTCATCGAAAACTGTGCGAACGAACATAAACAGTGGCGTAATCGTCCGTTATCGACCGACTCCAGACCGATTTTGCATTTGTAAACTGTCATTGCAATGGACAGTTGACATTGTGCTCTGGAGGAAACAATTTGTATTACTCTTGCTACGGATATAATTTGTAATCTGGAATTTTTTGCATACCTTTTTAATACGTATTTAATTGCGGCTCGCGAAAAATTTCAAATTTTGAAAAATGGCTCGGACTATCAAGGAGCTTGGCCACCCTGGGTATATAGTCACAACTAAACATATTGCTACTTTGGAAGAAAACCAGCACAACTCAAAATTACTAGTTTTGAGAAAATCCCATGCAAAGATTTAACCAAAGTTTAACTGAATATCACTTATCTTCCACATAACTGCTCCCTAGTGGCCGAATATGCAAGTTACTTTTGTGACACTCTTCCACATAAAAATTTACTACATTTTTGTTTTGATTATGACATAATCAAAAAATCACACTTTTTTGAGTTATGCCGGTTTTTTTCCAAAGTAGCGATATGTAGTTTTTGAACCTGCTAGATGTTCCATTTAGTGGACTTCCTTTTGTTTTTCTTAGGATATATCAGTGCTTTTTCTTGGGTTTTTTCCAAGAAGTTCCAAAATGATATTAAGTGAAGAATTGCTGTATCATTTAAAATTATTGATGAACTATTTTTGAAGCTAACACAAACATGTAGTATATTTTTAAACAATCTTTCTGAATGAAAATGGCTATATATTGGATTGTGTTTTTGAAACTTTATATAGATTGTATCAGGTGAGAAGATGGGAGATGATTTCTTACAACAAGAAGAGTAAAAACGTTTATGAGGACTGGTGTCCAGAAGTGAACAGTTTCTGAGAGAAATGCACAAATGTCAGTAGACATATTGAGATCTTTTCACAGATCCTGCTCTCCACAGAATACATCAAGCTGTGTATGGAGCTGGCAGAAGTGGCAAGAGTGTCTGATCTGCAGCTGTCAGTTTCTTCCATCTCTGTTTTATACTCTTTAATAGAGGATCAGAATCAATAGAAATTATAATGAGACGGTAAGAATTGCCTCAGAAGCTATATATATAAAATTAATATTTTTTGTGTTTTGGTGTGCAAATTTGCAGTTGGAATGACATTTAAATTTTAAAAAAATTCAGAGGAGTTGAAATGATTTTTGGTAGGGTATGTGTTTACTAGAAATGCTAATTATTGTGCATATTTTTCCATAAAATATTGTTTTTATATCAAATGATCTATCATTTTCATTATACATTTTAAAGTAATTGCTAGGGGAATATTTTAATTTTTGATTAAATAGTAAACACACATTGCATAATCTTCCTTGCATCAGATTAGCATAAATTTTCCTTGCAAATTAATCATGAAATGTTGTGTTGTTTGTGCTATGTAACCAATACATAAATAAAACAGTTTGAATAAATGTTTTTATTTACTTAATTAAAATATTATAATATTTAGAAAAGAAATTAAATTAAATTATAATAAAATGAATTTTTGTTTTTTTTTTACCCAAATTTTATTTCATTTTTGTTAAAAATATCAATTAAAATTGATTTATATTTTATCTTTTCTTGATATTATTGCAGTTAAGAAAAGAGGGAATGCGCCTTTTTCTTCTCTGGTATCAGATTTTAAATGACAATGCACCTGACGATTTAGATATTATGTTTATGGCATTGGTTCCTGGTATCATTCCTGAGTCCCAGATTCCTCCGTCGTGGTCTAATATATCATATAAAGGATTTTTAACTCAAGAATCATTTTCAGAATCTTCAGTTTTCTATGCATCATTGAATCAAGATGATATAGGTAAAATTTAATTTGTTTCACTTCATTGCAGTTTGCTGCTACTCTTCTATAAACTTCAAATGCCATTTTAATAAATAATTGTTTCTACTTTCAGTACTGTGCTTTCAATGTGCGAGCATTTCTAAAATTTTAATATTTACCAAACCAGTTTAAACAATCAGTCTTGTTTTAAATATTAATAAATGTGAATTTTGATGAAATCTGTAATTTAAAATTTAAACACATTACTTTCCTAGTTGCTGTAACATAATGTACAATTTTAGGGTACAGAACTCAAGGGGCCCACTAGTTGCCAAGTGGCTTCACTCCCTGAACACTAGGAGTTTGGTCGTGAGTTCACGCCTCACCAGGATGGGCTGGCCACGTGCAGTTTTTCACGTTTTCTCCACATCTGTGATGCCTGAATAGGGACCGGTTACCTTTAAAAGGATTTCCTGGAAGGGATTCACCCTAGGCAGATCTCCCAAGTGTTGCATTGCTTTAACTTAACTAAACAAACAAACAGAATTCAAGGAGTAGAGATAGAGGAAATTGTGTTATATCTTGAGTGGAGTTGGACTTAATGAAAATTTTACTTGTTATTGGCATTTACAATACTTTTAAAAGCTTGTATCTACCTTCAAAATTAAGCCCTTTTTCCTTTTTATAATAATTAATATTATAAAACCTTATTCAATAATATCTCATAACAGTAGATGGCACACAAGTTTAGCTTTCAGCTAGTATCAAGTGTTTTTTAAACTGATTTTATAAACTTTTTCATAAAACTTTATTGATATTGGTTGTTTCTGTCAATAATAGTAATACAGTAGAGTGTCGTTTATCTGAAAGTCGGTTATCCGAAACATCGGTTATCTGAAAGAATTCCAGTTGGCAAATTTTAATTTTTGCTAGTGCTGTGGCGCTGCAGTCTTTGGCTATGTCCTGGGCTACTCAAATATTTTATGTTTTTGATACTAAATTAACTTTTGAAGTATAATTTTTTATTGTTTTTATATTTTTAATATATTTATTTTGTTTGTACAAAATAAAGAAATAATTTTTAACAATAAAATAGCCACGATTATTATTTTAAAAAGTTTACGTTAGGCTTAAAATCGACGAAAATTCAATGCAAAGCGACACGCAACAGAGAAAAATTTCAGGATGGGATAGGTTAATATATTTTTTCGTAAATAATCGGTTATCCGAAAAATAAGTTATCCGAACAACCCCAGTCCCCAATTGATTCGGATAAACGACACTCTACTGTAATGTTAACTTTACATTCCAAAGATAAAATTTTTTTCTTGTTTGATGCAGAAGAATCAGTTTTACTTTGCTTGGATGATATAGTATAGTCTCTCAAGTCTCCATAGATATAACAAACACAAGAATAAATAACACAAAATAAATTGTAGCTATATGTTGATTCCACGCGACACATTCGAACATGTACGCTGAACAATAGTGGGGGGNTAATGCAATAGACAAAATATCAAGCATTTCACGGAAACAAAATTCACATTTATATTCAGAAATGCAAAAAAATTTTGATGGTTTTTTTCTGTGTATGTAGGGAAGCACAAGTTTGCTCACCCTCTTTGAAGTTTAATAACTCCTATGCTTTTTGTCAAAAATTTCTGAAATTTTGCAGGGAGGTTTGTTTATTAAGGGGATTGATGCTATTAAATTTTGATGATTAATGGTCAAGGGGGTTGCCTGTATCTCTAGTAGGGTCAGACTTGATGATTTTACTGGTTATTAGCATTTACAATTTTCTATTAAAACCCATCCCTACCCTCAAAATGAACCGTTTTCCATTTTATAATAGTTAAAAATATAAATGTTTGTAAAATAAAATATGATAACAGATGGCACCACCAAATGTTGTTGGAAAAGTTAAGCAATTCGTTGCTGGATTTTTTAAATAGTACAAAGAATTAATTTGGCTGTTGTTATTGCATCAAATCTGTTAATTAGCATTCCTTGAATTAAAACGCACAGGAATATTACTTTGTTACTTCTCTTTAGTTGGAAGTTATTTTGGCTGCCATTATTTAACAATGATTATAAGTTATCATGAAACTTATTTTTTATTAAAAGTGATCTTTTTGATTCCAATTTAGCTGTTTTCTTGATGTCACACATTGAAAAATGTGCTATTTTTTGTACTTTTATCAATGTTGAAGGAGTGCATTTTCCAACTATTTGTCCACGTACCAACATCTTCATTTTGTTACACCCACATTTTAGATTTTTTTAAATTTTAAATTTAAATTCATTATAACACTTTTTTGTTAAAACATTCCAAATATACAGCAACTTTGTACAGAGTATGAAAAACATTGGCTTCTTATGTTGAAAAATTCCAAATGTTGATCAAATAATTCATTCTTCACAAGTTATCTCATCAACATAAATGCACACATCAAAGACTAAGTTGCATATTATCACATAATATTAAACACTGCATAGTAGGTTTGATTTCTTAGGATGCAAATATTCTGATTTTATAAACAAAAAATATATATATTTAAATATTATTAAATCAAATTAGTCTTAATTCAGTCTTTGATTTGTATAAAACATAATTCATTTGGTCACTCATTTAAGCTGGCATATATCATATCTCTAAGTGAAAAGTGCTTTAAAAGGTAATGCTATTTCATGGCGTTATCTTTTAAAGCAACATGCAATGTGTCATACCATCCAGGACTTTAACAGATAGGTACCAAATCATTTCATAAAAATTTAATACAAGTATTAACATAAATTAATTTAAGTTCAATTATGTATATTCTAATACTAACCTATTCTAGTTAAAAAAGAAAGGATGTATCTTATAAGAGCAAATTTTCCTAGTATTTTTATTTTCAGTTTAGATTACAATTAAAGTTACAATTTACAATCATACCATTAATAATCTCACAATTCTTTGGGCTTATCTTACATATACAACCACTTTCTTGTTATTTTTTAGTGCTAATAACGAAATAAAGGCTGTATATGTATGATAAACAGAATTGTGAAATTATTAATGGCATGATTGTAAAATTGTAACTTTAATTGTAAACTAAAGATATCTATGGGCTAAAAGCAAAACAGAAATTTGTCTAGTATCTTGATTGTCAGTTTTTTAAATCAGTTTAAGTTTATTTTTTGAGAAATAAGCTGTAGTTTACGTAGTGCTTCATTTATCTTGCATTATTGATAGGATATGAAAGATTTGTTGTCTTTGATCAGTATTATTTTTTACTCTTAATGTTTTCTTAATGTTAATTATTGTCTTTTGAATAAGTTTATTAAACACTAGTACAAATAATTACTACTTTGTAAATTTAAATACATGCTATATATATTTGAAGAAGTTATTTTAAGATATTCTTAAGAAACTTATATTTCTAGTACTGTTATTAATAAAGGAAATATTTCCTTAGTTCAGATTCAATGAATTATTGTTTTTGCTTACTAAAACTAATATGTCAAATTTATATATATATATATCATAAAAATTTTAGGTCCTGTTTATCCTGGTGAAATACAAGCATTAATTCCCTCCCAAAGTAGTGATCAAGCACCCGAAGATGTAACTCGTTTCTTCTTAGATTCCCTTTTGGAATTAATGGTATCTCAGGTAAATATTCTTTTATCAGTTTTTTTAATATCTGTAATGAATTATGAAGATAATTAATTATTTTCACTGTTAAAGAACTGTAGAAAATATTTTATAATCGGTTAATTATATATTATAATTTATGGAAATCTTATGAATATGTAGGTTATGAAATTAAATTCTACATGAAATTGCTTGGATTATTATTTAGGATAATAAAATAGATGTAATTTCTAACAACAAATTTTTCTGACACAAAAAAAAAATAAATTTAATATGAGAAAGAAAAATATTCACTTGTAGAACAAGCACCTTAACAATGAATAATTATATTTAATAAATTATATTTATTTTTTTTTTTTTAATTTTTTCAACTAGTTTAATGAATTTTCATTGTGTTGCAAGCCTAAGATATTCTACTCCCAGAACAAGATAAAGAATAGAACATAGANTTACATACAAACGAATAGATAGGTTAATTAATTAATTAATTAAAAAAATAGAAGTGAAAGGAAAAGCTTGGAATAACAAGCATGTAATTTGAGTATAACTCATTAAATGAGTTGAAAATATTTCTTTAAATATATTTATTCAATGTTAAGTTATCTAATTCTGTTTTAAGTTATATTACAATACAGGATCTTCTAAAACGAATGCTACCATTTTTAAATTGCTGTAATTATGTTAGTTTTTATCTGAGAAGTAACCGTCTGAATTTAATCTACCATCTGCATTCAAATATGTTGTTATCTACTGTCTCTGGGAAGTGTTGTAAGCAAATCTGGCAAAGGCAGAAATGCCTTAGAAGACCTTTTATGTTCTGTTATTTGCAAAGTCAGAATCACTTGTCATTGTGCAACATGAGTAATCTGAAGGAGCTGTAGAATTGTGGTTGCCATGGTAGGAGTGACAGCTGAATACTGTAGCAAGTGTAGGAAGAATCTGAGTATTGATTGGATATGTGCTATATGATGTAAGGTGCAGACATTGAGAAATTGTAATGGTCAAATGTGAAATTTTATTTTATAATAGTTAAAAATATAAATGTTTGTAAAATAAAATATGATAACAGATGGCACCACCAAATGTTGTTGGAAAAGTTAAGCAATTCGTTGCTGGATTTTTTAAATAGTACAAAGAATTAATTTGGCTGTTGTTATTGCATCAAATCTGTTAATTAGCATTCCTTGAATTAAAACGCACAGGAATATTACTTTGTTACTTCTCTTTAGTTGGAAGTTATTTTGGCTGCCATTATTTAACAATGATTATAAGTTATCATGAAACTTATTTTTTATTAAAAGTGATCTTTTTGATTCCAATTTAGCTGTTTTCTTGATGTCACACATTGAAAAATGTGCTATTTTTTGTACTTTTATCAATGTTGAAGGAGTGCATTTTCCAACTATTTGTCCACGTACCAACATCTTCATTTTGTTACACCCACATTTTAGATTTTTTTAAATTTTAAATTTAAATTCATTATAACACTTTTTTGTTAAAACATTCCAAATATACAGCAACTTTGTACAGAGTATGAAAAACATTGGCTTCTTATGTTGAAAAATTCCAAATGTTGATCAAATAATTCATTCTTCACAAGTTATCTCATCAACATAAATGCACACATCAAAGACTAAGTTGCATATTATCACATAATATTAAACACTGCATAGTAGGTTTGATTTCTTAGGATGCAAATATTCTGATTTTATAAACAAAAAATATATATATTTAAATATTATTAAATCAAATTAGTCTTAATTCAGTCTTTGATTTGTATAAAACATAATTCATTTGGTCACTCATTTAAGCTGGCATATATCATATCTCTAAGTGAAAAGTGCTTTAAAAGGTAATGCTATTTCATGGCGTTATCTTTTAAAGCAACATGCAATGTGTCATACCATCCAGGACTTTAACAGATAGGTACCAAATCATTTCATAAAAATTTAATACAAGTATTAACATAAATTAATTTAAGTTCAATTATGTATATTCTAATACTAACCTATTCTAGTTAAAAAAGAAAGGATGTATCTTATAAGAGCAAATTTTCCTAGTATTTTTATTTTCAGTTTAGATTACAATTAAAGTTACAATTTACAATCATACCATTAATAATCTCACAATTCTTTGGGCTTATCTTACATATACAACCACTTTCTTGTTATTTTTTAGTGCTAATAACGAAATAAAGGCTGTATATGTATGATAAACAGAATTGTGAAATTATTAATGGCATGATTGTAAAATTGTAACTTTAATTGTAAACTAAAGATATCTATGGGCTAAAAGCAAAACAGAAATTTGTCTAGTATCTTGATTGTCAGTTTTTTAAATCAGTTTAAGTTTATTTTTTGAGAAATAAGCTGTAGTTTACGTAGTGCTTCATTTATCTTGCATTATTGATAGGATATGAAAGATTTGTTGTCTTTGATCAGTATTATTTTTTACTCTTAATGTTTTCTTAATGTTAATTATTGTCTTTTGAATAAGTTTATTAAACACTAGTACAAATAATTACTACTTTGTAAATTTAAATACATGCTATATATATTTGAAAAAGTTATTTTAAGATATTCTTAAGAAACTTATATTTCTAGTACTGTTATTAATAAAGGAAATATTTCCTTAGTTCAGATTCAATGAATTATTGTTTTTGCTTACTAAAACTAATATGTCAAATTTATATATATATATATCATAAAAATTTTAGGTCCTGTTTATCCTGGTGAAATACAAGCATTAATTCCCTCCCAAAGTAGTGATCAAGCACCCGAAGATGTAACTCGTTTCTTCTTAGATTCCCTTTTGGAATTAATGGTATCTCAGGTAAATATTCTTTTATCAGTTTTTTTAATATCTGTAATGAATTATGAAGATAATTAATTATTTTCACTGTTAAAGAACTGTAGAAAATATTTTATAATCGGTTAATTATATATTATAATTTATGGAAATCTTATGAATATGTAGGTTATGAAATTAAATTCTACATGAAATTGCTTGGATTATTATTTAGGATAATAAAATAGATGTAATTTCTAACAACAAATTTTTCTGACACAAAAAAAAAATAAATTTAATATGAGAAAGAAAAATATTCACTTGTAGAACAAGCACCTTAACAATGAATAATTATATTTAATAAATTATATTTATTTTTTTTTTTTTAATTTTTTCAACTAGTTTAATGAATTTTCATTGTGTTGCAAGCCTAAGATATTCTACTCCCAGAACAAGATAAAGAATAGAACATATTAGAAAAATTTGAGTCATTATTTATGACTCAAATTTTTATATAGATTATATAATTTATATAATCTATATGTACATATGGTTTTTATATAGTTTAAATAGGTTAATTAATTAATTAATTAAAAAAATAGAAGTGAAAGGAAAAGCTTGGAATAACAAGCATGTAATTTGAGTATAACTCATTAAATGAGTTGAAAATATTTCTTTAAATATATTTATTCAATGTTAAGTTATCTAATTCTGTTTTAAGTTATATTACAATACAGGATCTTCTAAAACGAATGCTACCATTTTTAAATTGCTGTAATTATGTTAGTTTTTATCTGAGAAGTAACCGTCTGAATTTAATCTACCATCTGCATTCAAATATGTTGTTATCTACTGTCTCTGGGAAGTGTTGTAAGCAAATCTGGCAAAGGCAGAAATGCCTTAGAAGACCTTTTATGTTCTGTTATTTGCAAAGTCAGAATCACTTGTCATTGTGCAACATGAGTAATCTGAAGGAGCTGTAGAATTGTGGTTGCCATGGTAGGAGTGACAGCTGAATACTGTAGCAAGTGTAGGAAGANGAAAAACACAAATATTTGTTTTATTTGGGTTTCTAATTAATAAAAAACGGCGAAACACCATTTTAAAGTGCATTTTTATTCGACAAATATATTTATAAATAATATATAGCCCAGAAAGTAGCCAATGCACGAAATGATAATTTTTATGCCAAACTAAAAAAAGTGTAGCCAAATTTGGTGCAAAGTAGCCAAATCCTGCAATGCTGGAAAGAATTCTAAATAATTCTGGAGTTGGAATTCAAAGAATTATAGACTCAAATTTGAGAAAAGGAAAGAAAGGCTAAAAGATAAAAAGTAGTGAGGAAGGTTGGAAAATTAAGGGTCAATACTTGCATAACAGAAGGTCTATTTAACCTTTCTCACTACTTTTTATCTTTTGGCCTTTCTCTCCTTTTCTCAAATTTGGGTCTGTAATCCTTTGAGTCACAACTTCAGCTTTATTTAGTATTCCTTCGTCATTCACACATCTTCAAGTATTTGAAAATATTTCCTTTTCACTCAAAAATAAAATAGGTTTAAAAGTTTACAGCTTTGTGAAATTTCTTTTTTGAGTTTATGCCGTTGAAATAAATAAATAATAAAAAAATAAAACAATTTGGTGATTTTGTTTTACACATTTATTGGGCCATGTTGGAACTTGCCTTGGGCCACATGTGGCCTGCAGGCTGTGGGTTGGACACCCCTGGTCTAAAGGAAAATTTAACTTGATAACTTTGTTTTAATTTGTATTTATTATGTATTAAAGAACATAAAATACAATTGTCAAAAGTTATAAAAAGTATGTACCAAAAAAAGTTAAAGTTTATTCATAAAAAAACATTTAGATTAATATTTTAGTCATTAATCCCATTAATAAAATTCCTTCAATAAAGTGCAAATTTATAAAGAAAATATATAGTTCTGGAGATTGCGAATTCTTCTCATAGTGAATACTGACTGACCATGGAAATAAAACTAAGATTAAGAAAGGGGGATTCTCCAGTGTGGAGAATCCTCCTTTCTTAATCTTAAGTCCAAGTGGTTGTTAAACAGATAGGTTGTTAAATGGTGAATGGCTGTATTACTTTCTTGAATATGAGTTTATATAATAAAATAACATTTTGTTTAAAATGAGATAGTCCTATTACTAGGAAAATATTTAATGCTTGCTTTCTCTTTTCATTTTGCATCAATCTATTTGTTTTAAAATATATTAACTAGTGCAAGGAATTGGGTTAAGATGTGAGGTTTAACCTGTTCTCTGATGACAGAACAGTAAGTCCCACTCACCATGTCAGGGTGAGTGGGACTTACTGTCTTATAGCTGGGACTTATGGTCTTATAGGTGGGGTTGCAGTTTGAGGGAGAACAATGAATTTTTTTAAATTATTGTAATTCATATTTCAGTATTATTTATATAAATAAATTACGTACGTAAATAATAGAATTATTTAAAAATGTTTTTGCAGAAGGAAATAAAATTTTTAATGTTTTTTTCCATACAGAAAATTTTGATATTGATTCCTGAATTATTGAATAAGAAATGGCAACTACACAGCTTACAACGAATCATGAAAAAACTACTACATCCTGGCAATTCAATAAAGGTAGCAAATGATTTTATGTTTATTTTATATTATATATATATATTAATTNTATACTCTTTAATAGAGGATCAGAATCAATAGAAATTATAATGAGACGGTAAGAATTGCCTCAGAAGCTATATATATAAAATTAATATTTTTTGTGTTTTGGTGTGCAAATTTGCAGTTGGAATGACATTTAAATTTTAAAAAAATTCAGAGGAGTTGAAATGATTTTTGGTAGGGTATGTGTTTACTAGAAATGCTAATTATTGTGCATATTTTTCCATAAAATATTGTTTTTATATCAAATGATCTATCATTTTCATTATACATTTTAAAGTAATTGCTAGGGGAATATTTTAATTTTTGATTAAATAGTAAACACACATTGCATAATCTTCCTTGCATCAGATTAGCATAAATTTTCCTTGCAAATTAATCATGAAATGTTGTGTTGTTTGTGCTATGTAACCAATACATAAATAAAACAGTTTGAATAAATGTTTTTATTTACTTAATTAAAATATTATAATATTTAGAAAAGAAATTAAATTAAATTATAATAAAATGAATTTTTGTTTTTTTTTTACCCAAATTTTATTTCATTTTTGTTAAAAATATCAATTAAAATTGATTTATATTTTATCTTTTCTTGATATTATTGCAGTTAAGAAAAGAGGGAATGCGCCTTTTTCTTCTCTGGTATCAGATTTTAAATGACAATGCACCTGACGATTTAGATATTATGTTTATGGCATTGGTTCCTGGTATCATTCCTGAGTCCCAGATTCCTCCGTCGTGGTCTAATATATCATATAAAGGATTTTTAACTCAAGAATCATTTTCAGAATCTTCAGTTTTCTATGCATCATTGAATCAAGATGATATAGGTAAAATTTAATTTGTTTCACTTCATTGCAGTTTGCTGCTACTCTTCTATAAACTTCAAATGCCATTTTAATAAATAATTGTTTCTACTTTCAGTACTGTGCTTTCAATGTGCGAGCATTTCTAAAATTTTAATATTTACCAAACCAGTTTAAACAATCAGTCTTGTTTTAAATATTAATAAATGTGAATTTTGATGAAATCTGTAATTTAAAATTTAAACACATTACTTTCCTAGTTGCTGTAACATAATGTACAATTTTAGGGTACAGAACTCAAGGGGCCCACTAGTTGCCAAGTGGCTTCACTCCCTGAACACTAGGAGTTTGGTCGTGAGTTCACGCCTCACCAGGATGGGCTGGCCACGTGCAGTTTTTCACGTTTTCTCCACATCTGTGATGCCTGAATAGGGACCGGTTACCTTTAAAAGGATTTCCTGGAAGGGATTCACCCTAGGCAGATCTCCCAAGTGTTGCATTGCTTTAACTTAACTAAACAAACAAACAGAATTCAAGGAGTAGAGATAGAGGAAATTGTGTTATATCTTGAGTGGAGTTGGACTTAATGAAAATTTTACTTGTTATTGGCATTTACAATACTTTTAAAAGCTTGTATCTACCTTCAAAATTAAGCCCTTTTTCCTTTTTATAATAATTAATATTATAAAACCTTATTCAATAATATCTCATAACAGTAGATGGCACACAAGTTTAGCTTTCAGCTAGTATCAAGTGTTTTTTAAACTGATTTTATAAACTTTTTCATAAAACTTTATTGATATTGGTTGTTTCTGTCAATAATAGTAATACAGTAGAGTGTCGTTTATCTGAAAGTCGGTTATCCGAAACATCGGTTATCTGAAAGAATTCCAGTTGGCAAATTTTAATTTTTGCTAGTGCTGTGGCGCTGCAGTCTTTGGCTATGTCCTGGGCTACTCAAATATTTTATGTTTTTGATACTAAATTAACTTTTGAAGTATAATTTTTTATTGTTTTTATATTTTTAATATATTTATTTTGTTTGTACAAAATAAAGAAATAATTTTTAACAATAAAATAGCCACGATTATTATTTTAAAAAGTTTACGTTAGGCTTAAAATCGACGAAAATTCAATGCAAAGCGACACGCAACAGAGAAAAATTTCAGGATGGGATAGGTTAATATATTTTTTCGTAAATAATCGGTTATCCGAAAAATAAGTTATCCGAACAACCCCAGTCCCCAATTGATTCGGATAAACGACACTCTACTGTATAAGAATATATTTCATTTTAAAATATTAACCATGATCATTTCATTCTAAATTTAAATATACTTTTTTAAATGTTTTTTATTTTTGTTGCTGAATATTTTAAATTTTTTACAATTATTTTTCCTTATTCAGAAATCCCACCATTACAATTAATGCAATAGACAAAATATCAAGCATTTCACGGAAACAAAATTCACATTTATATTCAGAAATGCAAAAAAATTTTGATGGTTTTTTTCTGTGTATGTAGGGAAGCACAAGTTTGCTCACCCTCTTTGAAGTTTAATAACTCCTATGCTTTTTGTCAAAAATTTCTGAAATTTTGCAGGGAGGTTTGTTTATTAAGGGGATTGATGCTATTAAATTTTGATGATTAATGGTCAAGGGGGTTGCCTGTATCTCTAGTAGGGTCAGACTTGATGATTTTACTGGTTATTAGCATTTACAATTTTCTATTAAAACCCATCCCTACCCTCAAAATGAACCGTTTTCCATTTTATAATAGTTAAAAATATAAATGTTTGTAAAATAAAATATGATAACAGATGGCACCACCAAATGTTGTTGGAAAAGTTAAGCAATTCGTTGCTGGATTTTTTAAATAGTACAAAGAATTAATTTGGCTGTTGTTATTGCATCAAATCTGTTAATTAGCATTCCTTGAATTAAAACGCACAGGAATATTACTTTGTTACTTCTCTTTAGTTGGAAGTTATTTTGGCTGCCATTATTTAACAATGATTATAAGTTATCATGAAACTTATTTTTTATTAAAAGTGATCTTTTTGATTCCAATTTAGCTGTTTTCTTGATGTCACACATTGAAAAATGTGCTATTTTTTGTACTTTTATCAATGTTGAAGGAGTGCATTTTCCAACTATTTGTCCACGTACCAACATCTTCATTTTGTTACACCCACATTTTAGATTTTTTTAAATTTTAAATTTAAATTCATTATAACACTTTTTTGTTAAAACATTCCAAATATACAGCAACTTTGTACAGAGTATGAAAAACATTGGCTTCTTATGTTGAAAAATTCCAAATGTTGATCAAATAATTCATTCTTCACAAGTTATCTCATCAACATAAATGCACACATCAAAGACTAAGTTGCATATTATCACATAATATTAAACACTGCATAGTAGGTTTGATTTCTTAGGATGCAAATATTCTGATTTTATAAACAAAAAATATATATATTTAAATATTATTAAATCAAATTAGTCTTAATTCAGTCTTTGATTTGTATAAAACATAATTCATTTGGTCACTCATTTAAGCTGGCATATATCATATCTCTAAGTGAAAAGTGCTTTAAAAGGTAATGCTATTTCATGGCGTTATCTTTTAAAGCAACATGCAATGTGTCATACCATCCAGGACTTTAACAGATAGGTACCAAATCATTTCATAAAAATTTAATACAAGTATTAACATAAATTAATTTAAGTTCAATTATGTATATTCTAATACTAACCTATTCTAGTTAAAAAAGAAAGGATGTATCTTATAAGAGCAAATTTTCCTAGTATTTTTATTTTCAGTTTAGATTACAATTAAAGTTACAATTTACAATCATACCATTAATAATCTCACAATTCTTTGGGCTTATCTTACATATACAACCACTTTCTTGTTATTTTTTAGTGCTAATAACGAAATAAAGGCTGTATATGTATGATAAACAGAATTGTGAAATTATTAATGGCATGATTGTAAAATTGTAACTTTAATTGTAAACTAAAGATATCTATGGGCTAAAAGCAAAACAGAAATTTGTCTAGTATCTTGATTGTCAGTTTTTTAAATCAGTTTAAGTTTATTTTTTGAGAAATAAGCTGTAGTTTACGTAGTGCTTCATTTATCTTGCATTATTGATAGGATATGAAAGATTTGTTGTCTTTGATCAGTATTATTTTTTACTCTTAATGTTTTCTTAATGTTAATTATTGTCTTTTGAATAAGTTTATTAAACACTAGTACAAATAATTACTACTTTGTAAATTTAAATACATGCTATATATATTTGAAAAAGTTATTTTAAGATATTCTTAAGAAACTTATATTTCTAGTACTGTTATTAATAAAGGAAATATTTCCTTAGTTCAGATTCAATGAATTATTGTTTTTGCTTACTAAAACTAATATGTCAAATTTATATATATATATATCATAAAAATTTTAGGTCCTGTTTATCCTGGTGAAATACAAGCATTAATTCCCTCCCAAAGTAGTGATCAAGCACCCGAAGATGTAACTCGTTTCTTCTTAGATTCCCTTTTGGAATTAATGGTATCTCAGGTAAATATTCTTTTATCAGTTTTTTTAATATCTGTAATGAATTATGAAGATAATTAATTATTTTCACTGTTAAAGAACTGTAGAAAATATTTTATAATCGGTTAATTATATATTATAATTTATGGAAATCTTATGAATATGTAGGTTATGAAATTAAATTCTACATGAAATTGCTTGGATTATTATTTAGGATAATAAAATAGATGTAATTTCTAACAACAAATTTTTCTGACACAAAAAAAAAATAAATTTAATATGAGAAAGAAAAATATTCACTTGTAGAACAAGCACCTTAACAATGAATAATTATATTTAATAAATTATATTTATTTTTTTTTTTTTAATTTTTTCAACTAGTTTAATGAATTTTCATTGTGTTGCAAGCCTAAGATATTCTACTCCCAGAACAAGATAAAGAATAGAACATATTAGAAAAATTTGAGTCATTATTTATGACTCAAATTTTTATATAGATTATATAATTTATATAATCTATATGTACATATGGTTTTTATATAGTTTAAATAGGTTAATTAATTAATTAATTAAAAAAATAGAAGTGAAAGGAAAAGCTTGGAATAACAAGCATGTAATTTGAGTATAACTCATTAAATGAGTTGAAAATATTTCTTTAAATATATTTATTCAATGTTAAGTTATCTAATTCTGTTTTAAGTTATATTACAATACAGGATCTTCTAAAACGAATGCTACCATTTTTAAATTGCTGTAATTATGTTAGTTTTTATCTGAGAAGTAACCGTCTGAATTTAATCTACCATCTGCATTCAAATATGTTGTTATCTACTGTCTCTGGGAAGTGTTGTAAGCAAATCTGGCAAAGGCAGAAATGCCTTAGAAGACCTTTTATGTTCTGTTATTTGCAAAGTCAGAATCACTTGTCATTGTGCAACATGAGTAATCTGAAGGAGCTGTAGAATTGTGGTTGCCATGGTAGGAGTGACAGCTGAATACTGTAGCAAGTGTAGGAAGAATCTGAGTATTGATTGGATATGTGCTATATGATGTAAGGTGCAGACATTGAGAAATTGTAATGGTCAAATGTGAAATTTTCACAGTTTTCCAATGTTTTAATATAAAATACAATGTTCTTAGATAATAATTTAAAATGGTAGCATTATTTTTGGAAGACCCTGTATGTTACTAATTTGAAATTTATAAAAGTTTAGGAATGATTTGTGGATTGAACTAACATACTATTTTGTTGCAATATAGAAAATATAACTTTAGTTTTTTCTTAATTTTTATAAAAATAAATTTAATTATTCATAATTGTATAATTTTATCTGATTAGATCAATGCTGATTAATTGGAATAAATTATTTCTTCATTGCTTTGGAAAATGGAGGATAATTTCAATTTTAACAGACATCTCAGAGCAGCATAGAATGTGATTTATAAATATAGTAAAAGCTATCTTAAAACAGATGTTGTACAAAGCAGAAACTTATCTAAATGGAAAGATTTTTTTTGTTTTAAGCCATAAATCTATCTAAAGCAGAAATAGAAGACTTTTGGAATATCAGTTCCATAACAACTTGAGTAAAGCAGCTGAGCAAAGTAGAATTTAATTGCAGTTAAATTCTAAACCATTATTGAAATATATTGGGTTTTTATATGAATGGTTCAGTTCTAAGGTAATCCAAGTCCATACAGACTATTCTAGAGATGGCAATTTATTTAGGAATTATTATATTAATTTATCTTAAATAAAAATCAAAATACATTAATGGGTACTTTGGGTAGTGTATAATGCATCATTTTTCCAAACATAAAATGCAGAAAAATTACAAGTAACATAAGTAATAAAAGAAATTTGAATTTGCACTTGGTCCACCTTTCATATAGAATTTTTCCTGTCTTCTACATTAATAAAAATGAAATCCTCCATAAAATGGAAAATTTCAGCCAGTTTGTTGTGTTCTGTTCAACAAGTTATAATTTAAGATTAAGAAATTAATTTTTTATTGGAATTATCATTCATGTTTGATAAAAATTAATTGAAAAATGTAAAAATTTGAAAAATATAATTTTGACTCACTTCCTGATACTAAGATTATCATTAATATGAATTTATTTATTAGGGAAAGTATGTAAAAGTTATTTTCAGTTTGTTAAAAGAAACCACTTACTTTTAGAAAATAAATAATAATTTTGATTAATTTTTTTGAAAAATCAAATAAATTTTGTTAATTTTCTTACAGGTAATAAAAATTGAATGGAAAGATAAAGCCGAAGGAAAGCAGCAAAAATGTTTTCATTTCTTATTTGAAAAATTTAAACGATTTTATTTGCCTTTTATTTTTCCCCAATTGTCGTGGACAAGAAGTATATATAAACCAACACTAGGTAATTGCTATTTATAAAAAGTTAAAATGCATTATTTTCTAAAGTTAATGGTCGAAAAAATATTTAAAGAACTTCTTTCGACTAAAATTAGATCTACCCGTTTTAAGAAGAGACGAGAATTCAATTCAAGAAAACAAAGAATCTGGTTTCATTCATAAAGATACACTTCTGCAATGTCAGTCTGCTGTAATACGATGGGTGGCAAATTTCGCTCATCACACCAAAAAGTTTGATAGTGTCAATCCTCCGTCACAAATTGATAAGTAAGAGACTAAAGAGGCTATTATATTTAATGGTTTTTATGTTAATTGAAAATATATTTTCTGTCTTGGAATCCATTATTAACTGTATTGTAAATGCTGGATGTATAAACTTTTGTTTTCAGCAGAGATCATGCAGATAACACTGCAGATAAACAGTTGCCAGACTCTTCTACCGATAATGATATCAGTCAGTCGAATACTAGTTTAGTTTCGTCAATATCGTTGCAAGAACGAGATTCGAATGTTTCATTAACTTCAAACGAGGACCACTTGTTTTTGGAATATGCAATAGTTAAGGAAACATTCTATTCGACTCATGATAATGTCAATTTAGTACATGAAATATTTAGACAGGTGAGATATTCTTAAAAATATTTTAGGAATATTAATTATTTCATTTTAGATGCAGTTATTAAAGGTAAATCTTCTGCAATAACAATTTTATTATGAGAATTTTTCAACAGATTTTTTAATATGAACAAAATGTTAGGAAATTACTAGTAAAAGATTTTTTATCAAATTTTTAATGTTAATTATTGTAAAAAGATATTTTACAAATTATCAAAATGTAAACAATTAGAAATAAAATTTGAAGTTATCTTACTTCCTTCTTCGACAAAAAACATTAGGTGAATTAGATGGATTGGCCTGTTTTTTAGGCTCTTCTCTGCTTGAAAATTGCTCTTTTTTCAGATAAAAATATATTTGTTTTCAATTTAAAGTATATTTAAGAGACTCAGCCAAACAGCTTGATAATAAACCATGCAGCCAATTGCTGTAGAGGTTTTGGATTTGAATATTATCTGGAATTTCATAATTGATCGTGGATTGTAAGAAAGATGCCATTTCTCATTCTTTATTTATTCTGACCACTTTCATTACAGATCTGGTTTGCCTAGAAAGGATAGAAATTGAGAGCCCAAATTGTAATATACAGTATGTCAGATGATAATACTAACAAATATTTAGATGTGCTTTTAATTAAAAAAGAAGATGATTATATCTTGGAAACAAAACTGTGTACAGTCAGTTTAAAAATTTATTGTCTTTCATATTGTATTTGTTGTTTAATCTACACTTTCAACATTTTAAAATATTCACAGTAATATGTTAAACTTTCATGTCTTATTTGTAATTCAACTTTCTAGATCTTTTGGAATGAAACTTCCTCTATAAGATACAATTCTATTATTTGGCTTGCATATGTTAGGAATGCATAATGTTCAAACGTTGGGGAGTACCTACTATTATAACATCAACCTAATAGCTTAATAAAAAATTCAAACAATAAATAAATGCCAATAATATAAAGAAATATCAATACATTCTTTTTTTAAATTTGTACTCACGATATATGCAAAGTTTTACGTTATTTCATGAAAGAGTTTTGTGTTTCTGTAATAAATAAATATGGAATAAAATTTATTATATATTTATTTATTTATTTATTTTATGAAAATGTGATGGATGAATTATATTTATACTTCACAGAATTGGTGTATGTTTGCATGCACATAAACAAACAGGATGCATTTCAAGTATACACATTAACACTAAAAATTCAGCAGCAAAAAGCACTTTAATACATAAAGAGACATTTTAAACAGTCTTAAATGGTCATTGTTAGGTTTTTACTTAGTAAATGTGAATGGAGATCATGATTAGAATGCAATTTTTAAATAAAGACAGTGTTAATTTTATTGGATGCCTGATCACCATTCAAATTTACTAAGTTAAAACTTGATGATGACTGTTTAAGACAATTGGAAGCATTTCTTTTTCTATTACAGTGTGTTTTACTACTGCATTTTTGATGTCAGTGTGTGTTTGCGCACACAATTTTTACACTGTAGTTTTGATAAATACAATAAAGTATTCATTGCATAATTTATTGATTATAAGAAGACATTGCAAACATTTTTAATATATTTTTTCAAATTAAACAGGAAATTTAGTATCATAATAATTAAATATGAAAATAATATAAAACTGTTACTTGTGTGATTTATACATTAGTGTATATTTTATATATGTGTATCAGGCATTCCTGCTGCCATTTGGCCATGCAAATGCAATGAGAAAAGTTGTTCAGGTGTACAAAGATTGGATATATAAAAATGTAAGCAATATTTTAATTTAATGAATTTTACTGTTTTCTAATGTGTTTTAATTGTTAAATAGAAAATTTTTAAAAATTCATTAATCAATTTATTTTTATACTCATGTATTGAATATGTGAAATCTTAATAATATATAAAAATAAAAGATGTATTAAGCATGCATATTAATCTTTATGTATGTATATCTCTTTAATCTGACATTAAGTTCGGTAGACTATCATTACAGTAATGATACATCTGTAATGATAGTCTACCAAACTTAATGTTGGATTAAAGAGACATACGTACATAAACATAATAACAGCTATCCAAAAGTGATATTTAGAAGCATATTAATCTTGTAGGAAAGGTTTATGTAGTAACATTAAATTTAAATATAAGTTAGTTTTTAATTTATTTTTTTAGTTTGTTTTTAATTTATTCATGTAACTTATCATATTTTATATATTTACAGTCATTGATAACTTCATTTATAAAACTCTCTTCTAGATTTTCTACTGTAGAAGAGAGAATTACAGATTTAGCCGAATCTAATTTTTTTGCATCTGTTCACTTTATATATATATATATTTTTTTAATCTGCTTACAAACTATTGAGATAGTTACATCTTATAAATAGAAGGAAAATTTTGTTTGTTGTGGCACTGTTATATTATTTGAATCTTATGAAACATCTATAGATATATTTCTATTTGGGTTTATTTGTTGAATATTCATTATCTTTTTTTCAACTTTTCTTCAAGAAATTTCTTTTTTTTTATTTATATATTACTTTCCTGAGAACCTGTTCCATCATATTTTATAGAAAAAAGTTACATATTTTTTTCAAATGGTCATAAAAATTTATTTTAGCAAACAAATCTGTGATGTTACTGCCTGCAGACCATTTCACTGTCAAAAATACAGCAAATTTAAATTCTTGTCTGATTACTTTAATTTTGGAAACAGTAAATTAATAAAAGAATTTCATTATTAGGAACATGTGATTTAAATAATGATAAACGACTGACTAAAGCTGATTAAGTGGTGTTGTTACCATTTAATTGGCATCTCTTCACTCAGATATCAGTAATTTACTTAATCATATCTGACAAAACTTAACAATCCTTGAATATTTTGAAATATTTAAAAAAATCTTGTTAATTAATGTTGTTTCAATGTCTCTCTGAAATATAATTAATGCCTTTTAAAATTTTACTTTGTTTTATTATAGATTGTTATACTAAGAATTACTTTTTTATTTAAAAGAAATTTTTAACCTTTAAGAATATTTGTATAAAATATAATGGAATAAGTGTATACAAAGATACATAAATAAAAAAACTTGATTATATTGATAGAGTCAAAAGGAAACAATGACGAAATTCATCGACACTACAAACTAAGTATTATTATTCAATGTATATAGCAGGGGTGGCCAACCTGTGGCTCACGAGCCACATGTGGCTCTTTGAACGATTATTTGTGGCTCTCGATAAATGTACCTGAGTTCCCTTTTCATTTTTGTGTTGTTATATTTTAAAACATTATCATCATTCCGTATGTGTTTCAAAATGTCTTTTAAATTATTAACAACAAATATAAAAGACTAAGTGCAACGTTGTAACAAATTTCATTTCCGTCCAAGTTA